TTTTTTTTTTTTTTTTTTTTTTTTTTTTTTTTTTTTTGTCTCTTCTAAAACAGGAAGGCTATGGAGTAATAGTACTGAATCCCAATGAGAACTATATTGAAGTGGAGAAGACAAAAGCCCAAGTACAGCTGTCTTCTGATAGCTCAGATGAACCTGCAGAAAAGAGGGAAAGAAAAGATAAAATCCAGAAGGAAACAAAGAAACGACGTGACTTCTATGAGAAGTATCGAAATCCACAGAAAGAAAAAGAAACAATACAGATGTATATTAGAGTAAGTTTCTTTTACTTTTGTTTGTCCTTGTTTACTAACGGATCGATATGTTTGCTGGCCATATTAGCTAATAAATAGCATGCTTTTTTAAAAACAAACATATTTCTGCAGTGACATTCAAGAGTTCATACAGAGTTCCTAGCTCTTTATTCTATTGATATTTTTTGTCACTTACTGAATGTAAAGTAAGTTTTGGAAGAGTTACAAAACAGTCCTTTCTAATTTCAAAGAGGAACTTCAAATAAACCCCAGAGGAATGCACTGGTGCTATGAAGAAAGGGAATGATTTAAGGAAGACTCATTTTATAAACAGAGGTGTACATATGAAACACTTTCTGGTGCATCTTCGGCAACACATTAGCTTCACATGTCATGCATGCATTTATTGTATTACATTGTCATATACTGGGGAGGCAGTAGTTATGGAATGATAGATTTTTAACATATTACCTGCTGAATTAATAATGTATTGTGGAAAATACTGGTGTTCATCTTGCTTGGTAGCAGATTTACCCTATAATGTATTGTTTTCATATGAGCAGCCATCCATTGTGTTTCAGCTGAACTTCTGAAGGCAGATAAAGGAGGAGAGTTATTAATATCTTAATAAATATTTAAGCTAGAATAGTTCGAGAATGGTGTAATGAGGAAACTCTGTCCCCTGCTCTTTTCTTACTCAGTGAACCTTTGCACTTTGTAATGCTACCAGCATGGGATCGTTATAACAGTGCTACCAGAGGATTTCTAATTCTGCAGGGGGCACAAACAATATTATTTGCACTTTGACACATTCTGCTTCATATACATACTATGCATTATACATTTGAGACTGAGTCATGCAGTATCCAAAGCCTTTATTATGGAAGTTAGCATTTTCATTTAACAGTAAAACATGTCAGAAAAGCCACACTGTGCTTAAATCAGTAAAAATGTGCATGTCCTTCTGTTGTGAAATATAGAAAAATCCAGCACAAGAGATGTTAGAGTCTTCTTAAATTTTAACGTGTTCCTTTTAATTGTGGTGTAACATTGAAGTGTTTCTAGGAGAAATACAGCAGTACTAACTGTATAAGAGATTTTGTAACCTGGGCATTAAGAATCACTAATACCATAAATATTACTGTGTCTTCTAAGAAACATCTTACGACTGAGAACCGGAAACAAAAGGATCCATATACACATTCAAAGTCACTAACAGAGCACTACTGTGGGATTTTTTTATTTTTTTCTATCTATGTGCTTCTTTTATGAGATATGCCATTCTTCCTAGTGGTCAGACTCTGTTTCTTAAGAGGCTTCTGTCAAATTGCATCAGAAGCCGGTGAACATTGTTGTGTTGTCCTGAAATGTGTTTAGTCAGCATGCTGGTTCAGTATCCTCTTATTGAAAGTAAACCTTTTTTGATACCTTTTTAGCAGTTCCACCCTCTCGTGGCTCTTTTGTTTGATGAGGCATGAAATCTGGCTTCAGGAGGTTTGACCCCCAAAACATAAAATGCATGACTCCATACCATTTTCTTTTTTACGTGGGTCTGTGCCTCAAATACGACTGTTCACATTCTCTTTTATTCAATTTTCTTCAAACCAAGGGAAAAAGTTTTAGTGAAAGTGTATGTGGTAGTCTTCTTTCCGGAGTGAAGTAACTGAAATTGAGCTTTCTGATGCAATTGGTGTTTTTTATTCTGAAAGAATCCCTTTGTATATATATATATATATATGTAACATATATATATGTTTCTTAAATAGACTCTGATGCAGAGAGTTTTTCTGAAACAGAATGAAAAATGTCCTGCTTTGGTGTGCGGCGGGATACATTACTGCAATTCACTTGCCTGCTAATTTCTGAAACAAAACTGGATCACTGATGGAATACCATTTACTCTTCTGGGTAGAACCGCTAAGTCTGTAAAAACTTAAGACAGGTGGTTGCAACAGGAGCTGTGAATATAGCATGCTCTGCTCTGTTGATAATCTCCCCAGGCATAGCATGATGCAAACAAAACGGTGCAGTGCCATTCGTACAGTGCATTTCCTGCCTCTCAAGCTTGGGTCTGTTGAACTGTGTATGCTACTGAAAGCACCCTTTTCTCACACCTTGGGATCACCGCCTGCATTACTTTAGCTGTGGGATGATGATCTTTGGAGCTAGTCTTAGACAACCTGAGAGAGCAATTCAAATGCAAAAAAAATGAATTTTACTTGCCCTGTGGTAAGGAATGCTTCTGACTCACTAACATCTTGAATAAGAGGAAGAAAAATCATACTTTACAGAAGTATTTAAGGATGGTATATGTTTTGGTAGTAATATCATTGAATAATTTTGAAAAATACAGAGTAAGCGTTAGATCACCTTCGCAAAGTAAGGCAAATGGGTACAAAGATCCAAAATTTCCTCTCAACAGCTGTGGTAGATACATACCTCAAGATAAAGTGAAGGCATCCACTGCGTCTAACATTGAAGGATGATTTGTGTGTGCCAGATATGCTGGAGATGTTGTTTCTGACTGTTAAGAAGAAATGGGAATAAATATCCTGTTATGTTATCGTAGGGTCAGTAAGACAGTGTTGTGTTCTGATGAAATGCCGGATGATGAAATTAAAGGCATCTGGCTGTTGGTCCAGTGTGTGCAGTTAGATTTTCCAAGATGTGCGAAAATGAAATTCTCCCACTCCCACAAATTTCTTTGAGTATTTTCTTTATTTTTGTAGGAAAATGCAAATTAGCTGGGATATTCAGGAATATGTAAAAGCAGAATCTTAAAATACAAAATCTCAAATTGCATTCTATTTTTACACACACAAAAAAAGAATATAAATAAAAATGACTATTAGACTGTGTAGTGCATTAACACAGTGCCTGAAAGATCAAAGTACTTATTGTTTCATGCTGTTAGTTTCTTTAACTAGGAAATAATGTACTTTCTGGCATACGTTTTAGCTTGTTAAAGGGGCTGATTTGGTCTGGGCAATAAACATCATGTCAAACATTATGGCAGAAAAACCTGCTTAGTATGTTTTGTAATAAGATAGAATTTTTTCTTCTTGAAAATAAGTGAATTCATGAGTGAAGACAGAAAATATCATCAGCTCAGTAACAATCTTACAAAATTGGTTTCTTTTTTAGCAAGGCAAACCAAGGAGAAAATTTCTTGATAACAAGTATTGACTATAATGCTTCATAGAAATATTAAATAAAAGCATTTTACTTTTATGTAACGTTAATGAATGCAACATGAATTTTACTGGTCTTGCTATTCAGACTTTCACTAGCATATTGCCAGCAAATCGTTTTTAAAGCATCTGTTTTTTGATGTGTTGAATGCAAAATTGAGTCAAATAGCTAAATATATGCATACTTCCTTTTAAAAAACATATTTCTATCCTTACTTATAGATACTACCATTTTTTCTTAGACCACCAGAGGCTGCTGCTGTACATATAGGCTAATGCTTCCCCCAGAAACTTAATGCCCTACTCAGCCTTCATTTATTACTGAACTAAACTGAGAATTTGTTGATCTCTAACCTTTTTCTATGGAAACAGATCATACAGGCTTAAATGTAACATGATTATTCTCTCCATCCTCCAAGCCATCTCCCACTCCCCACAGATTTTCACATTGACAGTGTCTTCTCTATGTTAAAAGACACTTAGAAATGTAAATCAGTATTTATCCCCTTCTAAGTAGTATTCACCACTTAAACAAGTATACTGAATGAATTCTGAAATGTTAGTAAAGAAAAAAGTACAAATCACGTAATTTTATAATAATAGTAATTTGCAATAATGTTGTTGCCACAATAGTCAGAGGATATCAAAGAGGCAGAAAAGGAAGAAGAATTAATATCTTTTATCAGACCAGCTGATGGGGTCAGATTTTCTGGGCAAGAGGATAAGCCCTTCCTTGGCCTGTCCGCTAGGAATATTCCCCCACAAAGATTAACTCTTTTAATAAAGACAATTCTTGTGGCAAATTTTATTTTTGCTATAGCACAGTCTATAACAGTTAAGTTTGTACTAGAAGCATATGAATGAAATCAAGTTAATTTTGGATGTAACTTTTTGTAAATAATTTTTTTCCCTTTTCCTGTGAGAAGTTAAATAGAACATGATCGTGTGCAACTAATTAATTTGTTTTGCTAAAAATGTATCTATCAGGATAACCCATGCCAACATTCAGGAGCAAGTGGTGCAAAGTGGGTTTATTAACACAGGGCTGATGCGCAGTGATGCTGGCAGGCAACACAAGCTGGCGGACATGAGCAGGCTGCGTGCCATCGCTGCATGTTCCTTGGTTAGACCAACACACATGGCAGAAGGCCAACAGCCCAATGGTTCACACCAGCTTTCAGAGCAGCAGATTTTGTGTGGAGATCAAGCCCTGTTCTGAGTTCGGCCTGCAGGCAGCTGTGTGACCTGGCCCATGGCCGTCACCTCTGCCTGCCCTGCCGCCTGGCAAGGGTCTCATCCAAACCCTATGTGACTCCATTAGTGTGCTGCTGAACCCGAGCTAATAAGCCCTTTATTCCACCAGGGGAGACAAGATGACAAGCACTAGGCAGACAGCTCCCAAGGGCCAGGGGACATGCTCAAGCACAGGAAAAGTCTCTGGCTGGGAATCAGGCCTCCCACCTCCAGAGTCTTGCCCAGTCTTTACAGTGCAAAGCTTTTTTTTTTTTTTTCCCTTCTTATAACTTTCAGAGTTGCTTTACCTATAGCTGAAGCACCGCATGGTTTTAGTTTTTCGGTTTGCTCGTATTTGCCTTTTAAAACCTATTGTTCCCTTCAGTGTTTGGGAAATTTACAGAATCATCATCTTGGCAATGGAAGGCTTATGAGAGCTGCTTAAAAATTACTGCAGTTTTACTGTTCTTTGCAACGCATACTACTTAAAAGCAAAAAGATTGCAGTTAGGTGCTGGGACATAAATATCTTGTGACATTTTAGATGCCCAGGGGTCTCTGCTACACCTGTGGAGGTCTGGCAGCTGTGCTGCAGGTC